AAGAAGTAAAACATCACGAATAGTATATGAGAGTCTTGTCAACGCCTTGCGCAAAAAGAAGAGCGGCGAAAACAGTAAACTTGAACAGAAATGGACAAGGGAAGTAGGCATGATAAATCATGCGACTATGCATGACGTGCTAGCTTCAACAAAGAATACGTATCTACAAAGTTTACACTACCGCATAACAAACCGTATAATAGCTACAAATACATTCTTACAACGAATCGGGATAGCAGATGACGCGCGATGCACTTTCTGCATGAATAATGAAGAAACTCTCAAACACATGCTGTGGGATTGTGCTATTGTTCAAAATTTCATATCAGAGACGAAAACTTACTTAAGGGAAGAATTTCGCGTGGAAATTTGCATTGACACTGCGAACTTCTTCTTCCCTACAATAGAGAAGCTAAGTAAAATACAAATATTAATAATAACTTTGTTTAAATATACAATTACAACAGCAAAATACAAATCTCAAGCGCCTAGTAAACAATTATTCATTTCTCTACTAAAATCTGAAGCGATGAAAGAAAAGGGCGCCGCTCTCAAGCGACAGGCGATGGGAGAGGTAATAGAGAAGTGGGGTACGCTTTTAAATATATTAGGATAACTACCGCTAGATCCTCTACTTTCCAACATCCATCCATACTTATCCGCCGTGCACATCCGCCGCCGCCGCACCAGAGACTTTTGACGCCGCCCGCTGCTGACCCGCCGACCGCCGGTCGGCTGCTGCTGCCGCCCCTATTGAGGCATTGCTACCGTCGTCGATGCAGTCGTGTGAGGTGCACTCGTCGCTGGCTGCGGGCAAGCGCCTGCTGCCCCCGCTGGGGCCTTGCCTCCCCGCTGCCCGCCGCCCCCTCCCAGCCACTAGACCCTTTTGATGTGTGTTTGCCCCCCCCCCCCCCAGCGTGTGTTCGAGTCATGCTATGATCGGTTAGGGAGCCAGCGGTTCGCGCGCTAGAAAGCAGGCCAGCGATACGTTTACGTTACTGCTTGTATTTGTTGTATTTGTGTAATACACGAAAAAAAAAACGAAAAAAAAGGACCGACAGAGCAGCGTCCGGTGGGACAGCCGCAGTCACCGTCAGAGGTGCAGCCCACGGCCGGCCGCGGCATCGGTGGGAAGATGACGGCGGGAGACTCTGCACAGGAAGTCGGAACGCAAACAACAGAAGCTAGTCAGCGAGGAGCGGACGACGCGGAATGTCAGACGGAACCTGAAACGGACACATCAGGAGCCGACAGCAGCCGTGATGAGAGTGACGTAGAGCGGGACTCGGGCGGAATCAGCCTGAGTAACGCCACTGACAGTGTGCTCGACACTGGACCACGTAGGTCTGAGCGTGTGTCCAAAAGACAAGCTCGCTAGTTGAGCTGTCTAAGGGGAGGAGAGTGTTGTGTCGTGGACACATGTTGTTGTTACACAGTTATGTTATTATTTAGTCCCGACTCGGAGGTCACTTGAGTCATGATGCGCGTGACCTACTTCGAGCATTAGTTATTTCAGTCAGAGTCGGACACAGTCGATCTCCGAGACGTACATGCTACATGATCGTTTTTATTCCCATGCCCAATGTCCAATATAACTGGGTGCAACTAAATGTACTCTTGCGGGGCAAAGATATGAAAGTTAGGTCAAATCTGAGAAAATTACTCAGAAAGGGCGTTAATAGGGCTGTCGAATGCGCTCTTCCGCGGCGCTGTAGCTCTATTGGTTCCCGAGTTATGCGTTGGCTTTTTGGAAATTGTCGACATTCGACCTGGAAATCGGCGAAATTTTGCCTTCAATGACCTCTGGTGACCTGACCTTTGACCTGACCAAAAAATTGACTGAAGTGATTTCCTTATTATTTTTGACGCTCTTTCGAACGCCGCCTTCCGCGTATCCCTACGTGGCCCAGGAGCCGAGTTAGAAGGGGGGTGTTCAAACACCCCCCCCCCCCCCAGCAGGGCGTGGAAATCCAGGACCCCCAGCCGGGCGCGGGATATCTTAGGAACGGGACATCCGATTGACAAGCGGTCTTTTTTACTGAATGTCACTTGGACGTAAAAGTTCTGTGGTTTGATGGCCACCATGTTTTCTTGCCAACCACCGCACGTGGCGCGTGGTAAAGTTGGACATTTTTTAAGAACCCCAAAATTGCAACCTCAATAACGGCACAACGGTTGGGCCGATTGAATTGAAACTCGGTACACAGTTAGGTCTCCATCAGATAATTCATCTGCATGTGTTAAGGTTGGGGTGCTACAGCACGTGCGCACGTGCAGGGGGCGCTCCCAGATCTGGAGAACGGCTGGGCCGATTGCGCTCAAATTTGGTACACGGTTGGGGACCAGTTAGTAGGGTGCCGTGCAAAAGTCAGTTTGGACCCCGCTTGCACGTGCGCACGTGCAGAATGCCGCTACCCAGATCTCAGGAACGGCTGGGCCGATTGCGTTCAAATTTGGCACACCGCTAGCGACCAGTTAGAAGGGTGCTTTGCACAAGCCCGTTGGAAGTGCCCTCTCGCCCTTGCGCACGTGCAGGGCTCACAATCTCGCTCGCTCGTTCTTCGCCCAAAGGCGTTTTACTGGTCTATAACTTGGGTATCATCGGCTTCCTCTCGTCACGTGCAACATGCTCCTTCTTTTCAATAAGCTCTATAATAGTTTGATCAAAAGCCGATCAATTGTGGGGTCTGATCCATACCCGCCCAAACGTCAGCGCCTGAGAAAACGCCGATATGGGTGCGAGTTATGGCATATTCCTATATAAACTATGTTATGTTTTGCTTTTTTAGTGGCTTACATCGATTTTGTTCTAAAAATGACGCAAAAAATCAACATATGTACAGTGATGTTACTTAAAATTTTACGCCTAGTTTCCTTTTTAATAATGCAATTGCATTCATGCAACATATTTCTTGGTCAGTTTTGTGACAAAGTTTTGGAAATATAGTGCGGCAGAAAGCAAAACTTTGTTGTGAAACGACCTCCAGCCTCAGCAGGTCACGATTAACCCTCGCCCCGTTGGGGGATGGGCATTGGGCAATATAGCCCCCGGTGTATTTTCCTGAATAGCAAGAAAACGGCGGCGTGCAGCCCCGCCAAATTTTTAATAGCTTCCCGGGCATCAATCTGACACCTTCACACAAAACTTCAAGTCCTAGGCTACCTTAGGTCAGGAGTTATTGAGGTCAACCTGAGGTCATGTTCGAGCAAAAATGAGCAAAAAACATTAAATCTTGAAACGCTTACAAAAGCTACAGTTAACAAGCAACTTCAAAGCTCTATATCTGGTCGTGTAGAGAAAAAAAACGGCACTACAAAACTGCAATCTGGGATTTTCAAACTTTTGAGCTTTTGAACCCCCAAATTGAAAAACTTGGTCTTTTATAAAATACCAAAAAAAGTTAAAAAACGGAATGTATATGATAGTATGATGTTAGAAAATGACCTTATGCTCATGATAAAATGAAATGATAGTAAAATAAGAACCTAATTATGAACATCATAATATTCATAATTATGCTCAAACTAGCCATAACTCACCTTCAACGAATATATGATAGTCCCTGCTCTCTGCGATATACATAACAAATTGTAGATCGATGCTTCCTTTTTTGGCCAAGTTATAGTGAAAAAGCTATTCAAAATTGATGAGGTCAATTTTTTAACTAGATTTTTAACAATTGCAGACTACGTAGCGCAAACCAAAGACCACCGTTAGACTCCCCGCGAGGAGCTGCATCGAATCGATATCCATTTTATGCAAAAATATCAAATAAGAAAGTTGACCTAATTTGACCTGGCCTTTACCTGACCTTCACCAGAACATAACCCAAACTGGCCCTCAAGGGTTACCTGGCCCACATAATCGCATTTGTCATGTAAAATGAACCAGAAAATATGCATCACATAATAGTTATCTTCATATTGTGACCCTCAGTGACCTGACCTCTGTGACCTGACCTGGTATCAGTGACCCCAAATAGCAAAATATGTGTTTGTCGAACAATTCCCCATCGAAAATTGCTATTCATTTATTCCTTATCGATAAATGACATGCATTTTACTCGATTTTACAACACATTTCTTGAAATGCCTGTAAACGGTGAAAATTCGACATTTGACCTGAACTGTGACGTCATCGGTTTGACCGAGATCAATGAAATTGAGCCAAAAGGTATTTTCTCGTTGGGACCATCCAACACCGTTTGATGCTTGTCGTTATTTTGCGTGATTCTCGAGATCTTAGGGGGGGGGGGCAAAATGCTCCCCCCCAATGGGACCGATGCTCGGGAGACCTTAACGGGGCGCGGGTTAAATGACAGAACTGTTCTCAAGAAATAACATTACAGTCGTCTCCCGGCCTCGGCTAAAACTTTGGACGACTACCTATGAATTGGCACGCTGCCGGCTCACCCCTCCCGCTGGCTACGGGTGGCCTTGACCGTTCAATACCGATTGGCCAACAACGGCCGAGGTCGTGCGCTGGTCAGCACGCAGAGAGGACGGGACGCGGTACTGCACATTGTGAGTGACCTCTGACCTTTCCCCATCCCCTGACCGCATGCCATGTCGCCGGCCCAGGCGATAGAAACCGGTTTTAGCCTCTACGCAGGCTGCTACTCTAACCCTTCCCTCCCCTCCTTACTATGTGCCGTAGTACGCGCTCGCGAGTAACTGGGCGGAGCAAATGGTCACCGATACAGAGGCGGAACTGGTTGCCCTCCCGCTCGCCGAGCGACCTACCGCTAAAACCCGCGAGACCTGTACATACAGTCAGATGACCATTTTTTTTTTTTTTATGGAAGTCTTCCATGAACGAGCGCCTCGTCTCCCTATAAGTTACAGTATTATACCGGTAGGTGGCGCTGCGTTCTCCTAACCGCCCATGGCCGGCGGCGGTCCGTGAAGTGTTGACTGCAGAGCTCTGAGACGGGACGAAATCACAGCAACATTCCGGTCGAACAAGCGACAGTCACACAGGGAGTTTTGTTTTGCGGCAGATTTCAATCGAAACTACCTGTCTGCGGCGTGCCAAGGAGTGGCCTCCAACGCCACCCAGTACCTGGCTGCTGCCAACGGCACCGACAGCCAGCAGGGCGAGTGTCTGCGCGAGAGCAGCGTGCTCTACCTGCTGCTGATGCTGGGCACTCTCTGGGTGGGCGTCTCCCTCTACAACTTCAACAAAACGTGAGTAAGGAGAGACAGCGTCACCATCCCACCGTCTCAGTGGACAGCGTCACCATCCCCCCGTCTCAGTGGTTCCGTCACTATCCTAGTGCCAATGCCAATGCCAATGCCTGTAAGCCGAAGCGGTTGGGAGCTCAAAATCGTCTTGATTCAGGCTTCTAATATATTATAACAACACGGAAGCTCGCGCCAGAATGCCTTGAGTACCGAGTACAGACATGCCTAACGCTCCCCGCGTCCTGAAACGTATTATAACGGCATTAACATAAATCCCGTAATATGAGCGTGAGCCAAATTGACTAAAGCACACAAACTCATTACAGAAGTAGCATAACAAATCTCAGCTTACCGTTCAGCAGACGCAACACAATCACAAGAGAAACCCGCCCGTGTCCGGCGCTCCGATCAGTCTGATCACGGGCTCGGCTGACCGGCCGAGCGGCGGCCGGCCCTCGGGCCACGCGGCCGCGCCTCTCATTGGCTGAGGGCCAACAGAGCCGCCAGATTATCGCTGGTAACAACACAGTACCTATAACTCTTCCCCTTAATTAAAAAAAAAAGAGAATAGAAACAGAGCAAAACGGCCAGTAACTAAACACACCAATCAGGTTGAGCATTACAAACAGGTCACAATTCATAGTTCCAGGTGGTCGACATAGCAAAAGACGCGTTTCCATGTGGTGGAAACATGGCAACATCGGAGGCTGCGCGCTAGACACCTCAGTCGTCTGTCAGAATTAATAACAGTCTTCACCAGCCCGGGTCAAGAACTTTATCTGACCGTGTCCGTGCACAACGACTTCCATATAACAAAACATCACACTCTACAGACCGGTACGAAACCTAACACAGTGAATACTAAATATCACCTTTTATCGTACCCTAACCGATCAGGCGGAACACCTTTGGTTCGCCTGTCTTAACGCCTCTGAACGGCGTCGGCCTGCGCATCGCTCTCCTGGGCGGCGGAACTCTCACCGTCATCAGTCCCTAGACCGGGCTCCTGTTGCACTCTCGGACCAGGGGATTCACCCGGTGAACTTAACCCTATTAGTGGCAGGCTCCTGGCTACCCCCTATTAGTGGCAGGGGGGGGGGGGCTGTTTACGACCCCCCCTTGATATCTCGAGATCTAACGGGCCGATTTTCAAAATTCAAACGGCATTCGATTTCGCTCAACGAGATCTACATTTCTAAAAAAAATAAAATTGAAAAATGTCAATAGGGGGGTAGAGGGGGGGTAAAAACGGGCAAATTGCAGATACATTTTAGACTGTTTATCACGGCCAGGTTTCTGAGCCAATCTTAACGCAACTTTTGCCGATCGATAGAGAATGAACCAGGAATTCACATGGATCCTAAAAATATGCATTTTCAAAAATCATAGGCGGATACAGATCATTGAGATTGGGGGTACACAAAAAAGTATAGTAAATAAGGTTTTTGTTGGTACTGTTTCTAAAAAGGGTGGCAATGGTCTTGTTATGTTACAATTTTCTTATGAGAGAACGACTAAAATTGTATTGGTCATGCATAGGCGGTGTCAGGGCACCTATGTTGGGAGGTAAAAAATAACCCCCTTTTTGGACGCCTGGATCCGCCTATTATAGCAAAAACGTCAAAGAGGATGCACAATAACTTTGTATAATGTATATGTTATCACATGATACCTTTCATTCACTGTTCGTAAAACTGGTGCAGCATCGTGATCTTCGCCCAAATGACTCGCTTCACGAATAGGACCCCCCAATTCCCAGTGCTCTGGGGCCGCCCCTGGTAAAGTTATGAACTTGAAATTTTCAGGGAATGTGCCCAATTTAGTTTTAGGAAAAGTCAGAAAATTTCAGCATCGTAGCTTCAGCGGTTTCGGAGATATTCCCGAAAAACCTGAGGGGTGGATAAAAACAACCCCCCCTGCCACTAATAGGGTTAACGGCACAACGGGCGTGTAGTAACTCAACGCGAACGGATTGAGGAATGAAATGACTGGAGCTGGAGACTCGGGGATAGCACTGGTAGGATCAGTTGGCTCATCAAAGCGGCCATTCCACTGAGGTCCACCCGCCACCCCCTTTGAGTTACCACTGCCACATTCCATCCCTCGGGGAGACACACGCGCCCGAGTCCCAGATGGGAGATCAGCCGCAGAGCCCTGGCTAGTCCGGGGCTTTAGCCTATTGTGGTGCACGAGGAGAGTCGACTTGGCACCCTCTAATCTAACACGGTAGTTCAGTTCCCCCACCTCATCCATTACAACTGCAGGCTTCCAAGGCCTGAGAAACTTATAGTAGGCTCCGTTAGGGACGAGGGACTATGAAGATACATTGCATCACCAGGGGAAAAAATAAAATCATTTATTTTCTTCTCGTACAGTGCTTTGTGTTTCTGGTGACTTAACCCTCGCCCGTATTGGTATTTTTCCAGCCGCGAACGTACAAGGGGGGGGGGGGGTCCGTTGGACCCCCCCTTGCCGTTTCGCCCCTGATCGAGCTAGAGCTTCGCGAAAAAAACGAGCGTGTTGCCCGTGACGAGAGGAAGCCGATGATACCCAATTTTAAGGTCCTAGGTCATTGGTTGACCTTGCAGGTCAGGTCAATGACCCCAAAGGCGGGAAAATCGGGACCTGTTAGCAGGGGCGCGGGAACTACTTTCCGACTGGGGGGCACACCATAATAGAGATTAACCTAGGGTACCCCCAAATCTAGGTTTCTCACCGGTTTTAGGCCACTTATTTTTCACCCCTCGGATTTTTCAACAAAAAAAGAAAACATTTGCAAAAAAGTGTGGTATTCCGTCTCAAAGCTGTGGGGGCACCGCCCCCACGGCCCCAGAGTTGGGGGGGCAAGCTACCCCCACTGCCCCCCCCGGCTCCCGCGCCTATGCCTGTTAGAACGTCGTAAAGTGTGGCTGCTATTGGGTTTTTCGGGGTGCTGATCACGAATATCATGTTAGTTTTGATCACAGATGATGTCTTCATGTATTTAGGCCAGGTCGGGTCAGGTCAGGTCAGGTCAACCAGTAAGGGTATTCGTAGTAGGTGGCAACCGCCTCTGACAGCATCGTAACATGTTACGAAGGCACCAAAACTACTTCGTAAATGTTCATATGGTTGCTAAATTCGAATTCAGCTCCAAAAACTGGCCTAGAAACATGTAAAACTCGAAAAAGTGAACCGAGGTCATCAAAGGTCAATGACCTGACCTGACCTTCAGGTGACCTTGACACCCACCCTAATGCATGGGGGCAACATCATATCACATGTTTGAACGCTTGAAGCCACGAAAAGACTGGAAACGCTCGGCAAATGCGAGCCGACATACGCCGAATCGCGATTCCAGCCAAACATGGTCTCGAAAAGTAGGTCACAGGTTAAAGGTCATTTGGGTCAGGGTCATGAAATTTTCAGGGTAGGTGTGAAATTGATGAACGCGAGGGTACTGAAAGTTTCGTCGCGATCGGCCGCTTTTTACGCGAGTTATTTGCCAAAAACCATAGGGGGGTCCGTTCGACCCCCCCCCCCCTATACGGGCGAGGGTTAACCCTATTATAACCCTATTATAGTGGCAGGCTCCTGACTACCCCTATTAGTGGCAGGGGGGAGCTGTTTGCGACCCCCCCTTGATATCTCGAGATCTAACGGGCCGATTTTCAAAATTCAAACGGCATTCGATTTCGCTCAACGTGATCTACATTTCTAAAAAAAAAATAAAAATTAAAAAATGTCAATAGGGGGGGGGGTAGAGGGGGGTAATAACGGGCAAATTGCAGTTACATTTTAGACTGTTTATCATGGCCAGGTTTCTGAACCAATCTTAACCCGCGCCCTGCTGGGGGGGGGGGTGTTTGAACACACCCCCCCCTTGTGGTTTTTCGCGAATCTCCGCGCCGCCGTTTTTGGTACACCTTATAATACATCAATTCTAAACATGTTGTGAAAATTTCAGACCAAGGTCATTCAAGGTCAGGTCACCAGGTCACTTGAAGTGACCTCACCTCATAAAAAGTTTCAATGTCTGTCATAGCTACACCGAGTGACTGATCGCTTTGAAACTTTCAGCGATTGCTAAGAGCAATAGCATGTACAAAATGTATATCTCAGAATTTTGATATCGATGACCTAAGGTCAGGTCAATTTTGCGACCTCCCCATTATAAGTCAATGGGAGAAAATTGAAATGCGCCTCTTTTGGACGAAAGACATTATAAACACTCCCAAACACCGAATTACAAGTGGTTTAGACACACTGAACATGAAAATGGTGTCCGTGACCCTTGTTTGTGCCCTGAGGTCATCTTAGGTCACGAATGGTATCTAACAGTTTTTCGCAAATAACTTTTGATAGAGGCATGCTAGAGCGATGAAAACGCCTTATATGTGTTCAGCTCGACGATCCGGTCAGATCCTTTCCGGTCAGGTCATGACCTTGACCTGAGGTCAAATTTTAAAGTTGACCTTTCAAGGTCAAGTTATAGTTCATTCGATGCGTCTTGACGAGAGGAACACGATGCCGGTGAAAGTAAGCTCGTACAAGGCTTGGGTCAAAAGTTATTGCAGAAAAACTGTTTCCGAAAAAATCGGTTATTTTTGCAGTTTTTGTCCCCTGCAGGCAAAACCGTTGACGTTAGGTCAAATCTGAGAGAATTAACCAGAAAGGGCGTTAATAGGGCTATCGAATGCACTTTTCCGCGGCGCTGTAGCTCTATTGGTTCCCGAGTTATGTGTTGGCTTCTTGGAAATTTTTGATATTCGACCTGGAAATCGGCGAAATTTTGCCTTCAATGACCTCTGGTGACCTCACCTTTGACCTGACCAAAAAATTGACCGAGTTGATTTCGTCATTATTTTTTACGCTCTTTCGAACGCCGCCTTCCGCGTATCGCTACGTGGCCCAGGAGCCGAGTTACAAGGGGGGGGGGTGTTCAAACACCCCCCCCCCAGCAGGGCGTGGAAATCCAGGACCCCCAGCCGGGCGCGGGTTACCGCAACTTTTTCCGATCGATA